AATCCCGGGCGCCACCTGTTGGGTCGCGTGCGCGTCGCAGCCGGTCGGGGTCTCACCCCGCTTCCCCCTCCAGGCCGGTACCCAGGAAGGGCCAGGTGTCCTTGGTAAAGGCCATGGAGTAGTAGCCGCCCCTGGCCCGCCTTGGGGCCGGTAGGGAAACTGAGGCCAGGCGTGCAAGGGCGACGGGGCCCGGGCTGCACGCCTTCGGCGTGGTTCTGGAACCTTCTGCACGTTTGCCTCCATTGGCGAATTTGGAAAACACACTGCTAAAGCAGAGCGCAGAGAAGCAAGGGCAGTGGATTCGAACTCACGGCCACTTGACTCTGAAGCTGCCTCTATATTGTTTAATTTGTTGTTTTTGTATTTATGGAAAGCGAGCTTGAACCTAAGGAATTCTGGTGGCACTGCGGGTTAGGTGCTGGGCTCCTAACCAAAGGGGCTAGCGGTTCAAACCCTCCCACTGCTCAGAGGGAGAAATCGGAGGCTTTCAGCTCCTCAGTAACCCTATATAGGCTCACAATTAGTTGAAACCCACGCAGTGGCAGTGGGTGGGGGGGTTTGGCACGTATCTGGGTCCCTGGGTCCTGCAGGCGTTTAAGCATTTGGTTGCTTATGGAAAGGCTGGTGGTTGAAGCCCATCCAGAGACCCCTCTGTGTACAGACCTGGCAGCTGGCTTCAGTCACACACAGGCTTGAAGACCACATCGAGTTGGTCTGCTTTGCACACATGGCGTGACCAGGGGTCGGAAAGGACTGGACAGAAACCGGTCTGCAACTGTGTGTGCCTGAACCTGTGCCAGGCGGCTGGGGTGGGGTTGACCAGGAGAATTCTGAGGCCCAACCTCAAGGAGCTTAGCGTGAGGAGGGCAGGCAGGCAAGGATTTGCCAAATTTCATGGAGCACAGAGGCAGACGGGATGGAAAGGGCCAGGGTTATAGGGGAGGCAGTGGGGTTGGGGGTCGTGGAATCAAGGGGAGTGGAGAGTGTTGATGGTAGTTACTTGTCACGGAGTCTGTTCCGATGCTTGGCCCCCACGCCCTGCCCCATAGACCCTGTCTCCGTCCTGCACCATCCTCACAGTTACTGCTCTCTGGAGACTGTGGTGGCAGCTGCCTTTCAACTGGTCCCCTTGAGAGCCTTCCTCTTTTCCACTGACCCTCTCACATTACCAAGCACGATGTCCTCCTCCCGGGACTGGTCTCTCCTGACAACACGTCCAAATGTGTGAGACCGAGTCTCGCCATCCTCACTTCTGGGAAGCACTTCTGAGACGGACTGGTTCATTGGGAAGGTAGATAGTAGGAGACTTTGACGATGGAGGGAGTGGGGGCAGCCACGCAGGGCTTGAACGGCTGAGTGGATGAGACCAGCAAGATGGGAATTGGGTAGGGCAGGGCACTCAAGAGCCACCCCCCACCCCCCCCACCCCACCCACCCCCACCCCCCGTGATCCCAAGTCATCATGGTCCAATGGAGTTTTGAGAAGCGGCAGTGCCCCAGCCTGGACCCTGATGCAGAAGGATTAGCCCAGCCCTCTGAGAATGGACGATCTGGGTGGGAAGAACCACTCTTGGGAGGTCTTATCTCCGATCTCGCCATTCATGTGATCCAGGAAGCCCTCCATCCCTTTTATGGGGTGAGGTCATTTGGGCTGGGGAGGGGGCGTGCCGAGCCTTTGAGTTCTGATGATATAAAGAGCCATTGGTTCAATGATTCAATCAGTGAACCAAATGAGCTAAACTGCCCTGTGTTTGTATGTAAAAGAATCATATCCTTACTCGACTTCCCCCTGCCACCTGCCTTGTAAGCTTGAATTTATTTCCTCATAAAATAACAAAGACATAAAAAGCCACGCACCTAGCAGGAAAAGATGCAGAGGTTTGAGCAAACACAGGTACCATCATCCCAAAAGCCTGATTTCATATGTGCATCAGTTTGACTTTTGCCCGGGGTTGTGTCCACAAGTGGGCTATTGGGTCAGGGCTGGCCCAGGGAGCGAACCTAGCAAGAGGTGAGACTGTCCGTTTGGGAGAGGCCAGTTCCCAGAGAGCTGCTGTGACTCGGAGCTGGGGGAGATGTTTGCAGTTCCAGAGGGATCGCCTCTTGCCCCACAGCATCTCCAACATTTGTTTCTAATGTCTTTTCCTCCGCCCACCCCGCTGAGAATTTGGATTGTTTTCAGGTTACACTTGGGCTGCTAACCACACGGTGAGAGGTTCAAACCCTCAAGTTGCTCTTCTCCTGTAAAGATTTTATAGTCTCAGAAGCTCTAATGAGGGTGGATATGAGTGGGACTTTTTATTTGTTTGTTTGTTGGGAGATTTTATTCTAGTGATACCTGTCACTCTAAAATCCCGTGGAATCAACTCCGTTCTGTTTCTTTACACCAGTCTAATCCAACAGAAATGCTGTGCAGCACAAGCCACATACATCATTTTAAATTTCCTAATCTTTTTAATTTAAAAAATTAAAAAGAAACAGGTGAGATTGATATAATATATTGCATGTAACACGTCATAGACAAGAAGACTTATCTTTTCAACATGTGATCAGCAGGAAAAGTTATTAACGAGATGCTCGACATCCCCACCCCCCCATGCTCAGCCTTCAAATACCAGTATGTATTTTACACTCACAAACAAGGCAGTTCACTTCAGTCTGCTATTGGCTCCACAAGAAAACAGACAAACAAACCTCTTTTAATGGTTACCAACCTACCTTTAAATAGACATGAACTTCTATTGTTAGAATGATCCATTTTGATGAGGGACCCTGTATGTCCACATCACTTCTTGTCTCTTTTCTCCGTCCCTCTGAATTTCTGTGAGGTCACCGCTAATGTCTGGGTTGGTAGCAGTCACACTGAGGTACTCATTATTCATAGGTTGGATCTAATGTTGGTCCTTGCTTTAGGGTACTTTAGAGAAACAAATGAACAGAAACTCATGTATAACAGAGAGTTGTATATAAAGGTTAAGTGCACATCAAGAAAACATCCCAACCCAGTGCTGCCCAAGCCCACAAGTCCAACATTAACCCATATGTCTGACACCAATCCACAAAGTCCTCCTCCATCTCACAAAACTCCCACAATGATGCCGACTGCAGGAGGAAAGCTGAGTCAGTGAATGTGTAAATATCTCAGCGCTGGCAGGGCTCTCCACACGGCTGCTCCAGCACCCAGGGCTGCATCGGGGTAGGTCCATGTGGCTTCTCCTTGGGGATGTCTTGCAGGAAGTGAGCCTTGCCAGCTGAAGCCAGGAACTGGCTAAGGCAGCTGCTCCCTGGTCCAATCATCAGAAAGACCCGAGAACTAGAAAGACGAGGCTAGCCAAACCATTTATCTCTCTGCCCTTCAATTAACCCCACGTGTTTATTGGCCAGGTTGGCACAATAAACTTAACTCTCTCAGTCCTGAAATGACATTGGTGCAGGGTTCATCGTGGCTTCTCTCTTTGTGGCTGAAGTTTCCCTTCACATGATTTTGTCAGTAAATCCCTCAGATTCTTGCATGCAAGAACAATATCAGCCTGTTTTGACACAGCTCTGTGACAATTTAGCTAGGTATAAAATTATTTCCCCAGGCTGCATTCCTTCAGAGCAGTCTCGGGAGCTTGGCAGGCATTGTTCCACTGACTTCTCCTTATGAACATTGCTGTCACTCTAGGTCCAGCCTAACTTCTCCCACCTGGTCCTTTTGGCCCGATTGCCAAGGGAGTCTCTTTTTTATTTTATTATAATTTCTGTAAGATATGTCTTGGTGTCAACTGCTTAGTATTCTCCAAGAAATAAGATCACCTCGATGAACTGGAGCTGTCCTGGTACCATAGTGGGTTACGACTTGGGCTACTAACCTCAAGGTCAGCAGTTTGGAACCACCAGCTGCTTCTTGGGAGAACGGTGATGCTTTCCGCTGTTGTAAAGAGTTACAGTCTCACTTTTCAGCAGTTACCTTATGCCCCAGGGAGATGATTGATAATGTTCTCTAACGTAAAATGACAATGATGTTTCTAAGTTGAACCAGAGACATATATAAATCAGAGATATATGAATGGATTTGGGGCTTACACTTAATTCTAGCCCCAATCTGAAAACAATGAATTCTAATGACATGTCCCTGCTAATGCCCTCTCTCCTGAAGAGGTCACTGAAGATATGGGTGCTAAAGCAAAGTGTGGTGAAGAGACTAGATGGTGCCCAACTATTAGCCCTATAACGCCTGAATTTTTAATTTTAGGAAAAAAATGTTTTTTTGTTTTTATTCTTTAGTTTCATCGTTATCAATATATATTAATATATACATTTAATTAAATGTTATGAAAACATCATGCTTGGCATTATAGGGTCAGAAAGAACAGCATCTAAGTCTTAAAGACTTGTCTTCAAACAAACAGCCATCGAAGTGAGGTGTCAACTAAGTCCACATGGAAGAAGCACACCGGCCTGTGTGATCCAAGGTTTGCAAAAATTATCATCCAAATCTGAAGGAGGGAATGGTATCAGAGATTAAGTTGTGAACACTTGGTTTGCAGGCGGCTATGGACAACCGTGGAAACCAAAAATCCATTTGCAGGGTACACACGTAGATTAAGCCTCTGGTGAGTCCCCTCTGACTATAGTCAGGGTATGTGAATAGTCTTCTTATCAGACAGAAAGCATTGTAAAGTTGATTATAGCAGATATAGTTAGGTTACAATATACCACGTTATCATTTGATCTCCCTTTTGACTCATTTAAAAATTGTTTTTTAAAAGGTAAAGGGAAATACACATGGATCAAGTCTCCAGTGGGTCCCCTCTGACCATAGACAAGGGTGTGCATAGCCCCGTACCATGCAGAGTGCATCGGGAAGTGGGTGATAGCAGATGCGGTCAGGTTAAAATGTAACACCTTATCATTTGATCTCCCTTTTGACTCATTTTAAATTTGTCCTAGTTTTTAGTATCTTCTATTTTAGTTTCTATTGAGGTTTGGGTTTTGTTGTTGTTTTACTTTGTTATTGTTGTTGGGTGTGTGTGTGTGTGTGCTATTTGTATGTTTTTCTGTATTTGAAATCCAGGATAGGTCAATCTATAGAGACAAAAACTGGATTAATGGTCCCTTGGGGGTATGGCAGGGCAGGTTGGGGGAAATGGGGGAGCTAATAATGATGAATACAA